TCATCACAGCTTTACTGCTCCGCACAATAGATCCATCATACGGTCGTGCTCACTCAGCGAAACCGTCATATCGTGATACAAAATGAATTATCTTCATTTTCTTCATGTCCCGACACTTCTACCTGTGGAGTATAATTGCGCTACAGTTCATTGGTCCAACACAGGTGATTGCGACACCCGGTCACTTCCACTCTACACCGGCCCTAACATAAGAGCAACAGCTCGCTACTAGTCGATATAGTCTCGTCAGAGATGCATTCTAATACCAGCTTACAGCTGCTCTGTGCTAATTAGCCAGAGACACCTTATGATAAAAGCTCACAGTTGTGGTGAACGTGAGACACAATATGATACCACAATTTGTTCCTGTCTCAGCATAGACACATTCTGGATCCGCGATATACAACTGCACATTTCTTTCTCACCCTGAGATCTTGGCTCATTTTACTTGATCCTTCCAAGTCTAGAGGCTAGAGACACTTATCAATACCATTGTTTGTCAGGTTGAACAAATTGATGTCCTGCACAGAAGCAATTGCAACATCGAGCCGTTTACAGAAGCGCTTATGCTTCCACGAAATTAGGTATAGCTGTCTCGCAGAAGTTTTATCAGAATAGAAATGCGTGATGCGCAATTTTTTTTGAAAGGGTACTGGGCTTATAGGTAAGACGAAGGGGCCGTAATCCAGCGGACTTGCTCAACGCTGATCCAATTTTCTTTACAGATTGAAGACTGGCGAATTTCTTAAAATCATTATTTTCCTATCTGGTGTTGCGAAAAGAATACATGCATTTAGTAATGTCATGAGAGTATGAGGTTTTCTCTTCTCTTCTCTTCTCTTCTCTTCTCTTCTCTTCTCTTCTCTTCTCTTCTCTACTACAAATTGCTTTGATATAGTAGCCGTTTATGACTTGGTGTTCACTGAGTCTTTAACATCCCGGTAGATAAATTAAAGACTCGCTACACGAGTCCTACTAGCAAATGTTCAAAGCTAAAGAATTGGTCAGATCCCGTACTAGCGAACTCGTAGAGATGATTACGTTTGCACACAACAAGTAATTGGAAGTTGTGATGAACCATCCAATGCCTACTTATTATTTTATACTTAACAGAGTCAAGCTATAAACTACGCTCAAACCTGACGTCTGCGTCACTGCAACCGGCCATTCAAGTTGTAAGGCATGTGGGACCTCCACGCCTTCTCCACACACCGCGCAAACATGGTATGACAATCCTCGGCAACTTCAGAAGAGTTCAATATCAGAACTTAATTCTTACGACACATAAGACTTTTGGCGATCGCCGTTGCCCTAAGCGGGGGAGGATTTCTGATTGGCGGTGACTTGCGGAGTCAGGTATCCCTATCAAGAACCTTTTGAGCGTTCGTCTTGCTCCTCGACGGTGCGGATGGCCTCCACTCATAGGCGTGTAAAGTTTCTGCCGCGATGGGCTTATATTACACCGCGATTGAGTCCACTAGGCGACTTGCGCAGAATTAAAGTACTCATCCTGTAACATCCTTGATATCATAACAAGTGTGGCTTATCTTCGCCGATGATCATTGTGTTTTTTCCATCAAAAAAGTGCCTTGAAATTTTTACTAGGCATTGCAGGTAAGTGACAAATTAAGCCAAATCTTTGGATTATGCTATCAAATATCTTCTCGTGGTCTTTTGGATCCTGGATATAAAGCAGGTCACAGACAAACCGATGAATGGGTTTTCACTTCTCCAAAAGACGTCTTAGATAGGCCTGTTATCATAATGACTAAATATTTGGTAGAGAACATTCCGTAATTGCAGGCACTAGTCGATTTTGCAACTGATTTCACGTTAATTTTGCGCAGAACAATGTCAGAAATTACAAGTCAGCCAGAGGATGGGCTCGTATGCTTCAACAGAAGCGTAACTAGTGGCCTGTCCAGTAACTAGACACTTATTTGCTTTTTTTAGCTTTGATAGTGACAGATATTCGTAGTTGAATTTGCTTAAGGTAACCATCCTCGAAACAAAGCACTTTTTACTGTATAGCGTGGTACCGGCAGTCCGGTATGCTTCTTACCGCAGACCGATCATCGTTATCCTGACCATGATATTTTCCATATTACCATGACATTTTTCTCATAATTCAGCTCTTGTACGACAAATACTTGCTCAATGACAGACAATAGCAGAATACGTATACACTCCATACAACGGTGGGTATCTCGTTATATCTTTTCCCGGCAAAAACGTCTACCACACTTATTTTATCACATTTACGACATCGCGCAATAGTGAGCGCCTCACAAGTAACCGCTAGATTAAAAGTTCTTCTGACGCCATGGTTTTGATAGCGCCTAGTTTCAAGGCCTTTAATACTATCATTAGAGCGCTCTCATGGCAAAACTTGCCATTTAATTATCATGTGACCTACGTGGCACACGCGATCGACGAGGTTACCATCACTCGGTGAAGCAGCCGACCTGCTCTTCGATGTCATCTGTCAAAGCGACTCTATGATTCCCGACCCAACAGACGTTCTTTATACGACAAAGTTATTACCCGAGAATATCGTGTACATATACCCTGCACTTTCATTACAATTGCATCATAAAGATACTGTACAATTGAGCGACAATCACATTGCACTTGGTGAAAATGTGAATCCCTATCATCACTGAATTTGAGTTCTTTATGAAGGTTATGAAAATTAAAAAAAGAAGACACTCGTGGATATGTGAGCAGCTTGTTACACGATAAGCAATCAAGACAGTTTTATACGCGAGGCAGGAATATCTTCAGTATTAGGCTTAATATATATAGATATGCCTTTTTGAATAGCTGAGTTAACTATACCTAAACACGTTCAAGAATCCTAAATTTGTTTCTGATAGAAGCGCATAGGTTCAATCCATGTGTTTTCAAAAGCGGGCTTGTAGAGTCTTGGCTTTCTTTGAGCAAAGTAAATTCAGTTGCGTTGCACTTTGTCGCACTTGCAGTCAATCTAAATCCTAGACTGAGTCAGGAAAAGCTGTATCTTTTGTAAGAACACATTTCAAAATGCTCGAGCACCCACTCAAAGGTGAATTGACCGGCTTAACAAGTTGTTGTCTATTACCGATGATGGGAACAGGATATGCCAGCCAATAGACCGAAGATAATAATGGCTTTTCTGAACGTGACCACCAGCCTTGACAATGCACTGATGAGGCACATCTAGGACTGAGCGATAGCGGGTGATCAGATGGTACCTACTTCAAGGAAGCTGATGTTTTCAATGTCTTAGATCTGGAGGGAAAATACTCTCTTACGGAATAAGTGAAGTATATTAGCCATCTATTTGGACATGACCCAAAGGAGCGACAGCGCGTTGCTTGCGGTCTCCAAGCAAGGAGACCGCGCCTCAGGTAGAACGCTAATGTGCAGTGCGTCATTAAGAATAAGAAACAATGTTTAACGTGGGAGATAGATGTCGCGGGTGTTCGTGACGCCTAATTGGGTGTATCGGGTATATCCTAGTGATTGTCTACCCATCAAAGGGGCAAGAATTGGTGGACTATATTTAAAAGAGCGTTTATCATCAATGAGGTCAAACCATCTTCCGGTTGTGATAACAGTTGCTATCTTCATTTGGCCGATCAGGTAATGCTCGCATCGAGATCTTTCGTATCCAGTATGCCCTTTTTAAAGGAGCGGTGACCGTTTAAATATATGTAAAGTACGAATTTCGTGCCGTGAGGGCCGATTGAGGAAGTGGAAGGGAAAGCTCTATGAGCGCGCCAGGAAGTTGGACCTCATTCAGATGGGGGAAAAAATTAAAATCATTAAGCACATGAGAGTTTCTTGGTATTCTTAGATGTTCTCTCCATGAAAAAAGTGAGCATTTGATCTTTGCGTGCCTTCTTCGCTCTCGGTTTCTAGGGAGGATGTGTGAATTCTAACGCAAGGGCCAAAGATTTCAACGTCAGGCGCAGAACGGCTTACGTGGTGCCCTGAATTTTATCGCACCTTTTGAAAGTTGCACTCCACTGATCCAGGTCGAGAAGAGACAATTCTCTTTAAGAAAGGAGGAACTCAAAGTTAAAAATGTTAACTGTTTTACATTTCAGGCTTTGTGCGACTGCGGAAATTCCCGAAAGGTTCAGAAGTGCCGTACAATCACGAAATGTGTAACTGTTGAAAGAAGTAGACAGTATGTTGAGGCTTTGAAGACGCCCAATAAGATACAATATTTGTGCATCTTGCGACGGGGATGCCGG